TAAATGAAAATATTAAAAAAAAAAAACTAAAATTAAATCAACTATGTCAGCCAGGTCAACATGAGAAACTTAAAATATTGGCTTCTTCAGCTATCTCAGTTGTCCTCACCTTCATTTTCCTGTTTGCTCATAATCCCTCCCTTCTCACATTTATCTCCAGACCTCTCCTTGTCCAGATCTATTCCGCCCCAAACAATTTTCTATTCATTGAACTTTTTGAAACTTTGCACTTTTAGAGAGAGTACACAAATTTGAAGAGTGACAATAGGGTTGAGGTCTGTTATTTTTCACCTCTATGTATTGTTTATTTATTTAAAAACGTTTTTGCTGTTAACAAGCATGTTATCTCTGGATACACAAATCTACAGTTTGAGAACGGCAAAATTAAGCATCTCTGATGGTATCTTCTGGATTGAACACTGAGTCCCACTGGGTAGATAGAAAGATTAACCTAAATAATCTATACAGAAGCCCCTGGGACCCCATAAGATTGAGTCCCTAATCCATGAACTATTGGAACTCATTTACAAAACTTTTCTTAAACATTACATGAATATATTGTCTCATACTATAGAATTAGAATTTATAATCCCTATTACATGATGAGATATCTTTGAGCTATAATGTCTTAATTATAACTATCTTTAGATAAGTTTTTTCCTCAAAAAGCATTTTATCAAAAAAATCTGATTTAAATTTAAAAAATCCAATTTTTTTTAAAATCATTGTTTTTATTCACCCTAAAAAGGAAATACAGTTCCCAGCCACTGCGGCTGGCGGGGGGACCCCGTAGCCCTCAGGTGCTGCAGGCAACAGGGGCCCTGGCAGCAGATAGCTCAGTGGTTTGAGCATTGGCCTGCTAAACCCAGGGTTGTGAGTTCAATCCTTGAGGGGGCCATTTGGGGCAAAAATCTGTCTGGGGATTGGTCCTTCTTTGATGAGGGGGTTGGACTAGATGGCCTCCTGATATTCTATGAAGGGGGGGACCCTGGAGCTCCGACACACAATCCAGGCCCCTGGAGCTCTTAGCCACTGTGCTGCAGCCCCAGTGTGGGCAACTATAGATCCCCATTTTGTCACAGATATTTTTAGTAAAAGTCAGGGACAGGTCATGGCTTCCATGAATTTTTCTTTATTGCCCTTTACCTGTCCGTGACTTTTACTAAAAATATCTGTGACAAAATCTTAGCCTTAGCCATGTTTAATGACAATAAAAATTTTGGAAGGGATATTAAATGTATGTTTCAGGGATTAAGCAAATCTCTAACCATTCGAGATCAGGTGGAGGCCTAGGTCGGGGACAGATTATCCCACATCTGCCTACTGCAAGGTTCTTACACCTTCCTCTCAAACATCTTGTTCTTGCCATTGTCAGAGGCAGGATACTAGACTGGATGGACCTTGGATCTGATCCAGACTGGTAATTCTTATGTGCCCCATCAACAGAATTGCTTATTAAGGCCAAAATATTCAGAACTTTTTCAATAATTGCTTCAAGCTTTGGGTGCCCAATTGAGATGCCTTGTATCTGACTGCCACCTAGTTGGGCTACTGGCTATGTGTCACAATTTGGACCCTATTATTTTATCTGCACTTTTTGATGGGAAGAACTACCTTGAATCAATGCATTTTATAAGATTATTGTGGAACTGCAGTGAATCAGCATGATAGCAAATACAGTGAGATAGTATCTTATACACGTTATGGATGGCAAAATGTGAACAAGCAACAGAGAATTAGAAAATCATCTACTGGATTCTTGAAGCTGGATCAGTCTCCAGAAACACAACAGAAGCAGGACAGAAATTGAGAGGAAATATTAACTTTTAGAAAGCTAATTAATGATAGTGAATGAAAGGCATGGGAGTTCTCAGCATTTTGAGTGATGAGTTAGAGTGATGAGGAGAGACAGCATTTAACAAACTGAAAGAGTGTACAGACAAGCTTTTTCATCCCACTGAGCACTCTATTAAACACTAAGGACAAAAATGCAAAAACTCAAGTCAATATCAAGGATAGAGGGGAGCAAGAGAGAGCTGCTAATTGATGATCTGATCTGGAGAGGTTTTGTGCACTCTCAACTGGCACTAGCAGTAATATTTGCCAACTCATGGATGTCAGGAGAGGTCCCACAAGACTGGAGAAGGGCTAATGTAGTACCCATCTTAAAAAGGAGAAGCTGGGGAACTATAGACCAGTCAGTCTGCCCTCGATACCTGGGAAGCTACTAGAGCAATGTATAAAACATTCAGTTTGCGAATATCTGAAGGATGAAGGCATAATCACTAGCAGCCAGCATAGACTTACTAAGAACAAATCATGCCAAACCAGCATGATTTTCTTCTTTGACAGGGTGACTGGTTTAGTGGATAAGGGGAATGCAGTGAACATAATATACCTGACTTTAGCAAGGCTTTTGACACAGCCCCACACGACATTCTGATAAGTAAGCTGGAGAAATGAGGTCTTGGCGGAACTACCATTAAATGGATACGTAATTGGTTAAACAACCGCAAACAAAGAGTAACTATTAATGAAATGATGTTAGATTGAAAGGGAGTCTCAGGTGGGGTTCCACAGGGATCTGTTCTGGGTCCAGTGTTATATAATATCTTTATTGATGATCTGGATGTAGCCATTAATTTTGTAGGAATAGGGAGTGCCTACTGATCAAATTTGAAGATGACACAAAGCTGGGGGGTTTGCAAACACTTTGGAGGCTAGAGCTAAAATTCAGAGGGATCTTGATAAATTGGAGAACTGGACTATAGACAACAAAATGAAATTCAATATAGACAAATGTAAGGTGCTATACTTAGGGAAGAAAATCCTAATGCACAAATACAGAATGGGGGATAACTGGCTTGGCAGCAGCACTGCTGAAAAGGATCTGAGAGTTATGATGGATCACAACTTCAACATGAGTCGACAATGTGATGCTGTTGCAAAAAAAGCAAATGCAGTTTTAGGTTGCATTAACAGAGGGATAGCATGCAAGTCACGGGAGGTGTTAGTACCACTCTACTCGGTGCAGGTTAGTCCTCATCTGGAGTACTGTGTCCAATTTTGGTCACCAATGTATAGAAAGGATGTAACGAAACTGGAAAGGCAAGTGACAAAGATGATCCAAGGGATGGAATGCAAGCCATATGAACAAAGGCTGAAGGTGTATGTTTAGTTTGGAACAGAGGAGATTAACGGGGGACATGATAGCAGACTTTAGTAACAAGTTACAGATAATGGAATAACCTGCTCATAGCAGAATTTTCTTCTTAACCTTTATCAGTTAGTGGTGGTTTTATTATATGAAATGTTGGAGCTTATATTTCTTCCTAAACAAAACAAACAAACAAGCAGAACCTTCAAGAAAATAATCCTAGTTAATGTATCTATAGATGTTCAATCCTTTCCCCTCAATGGTGTTTTGTGATTATAAAATTGTAAAAATTTTCCTTTTATCAATTTTAAATTTGTTGTATTTGTTTTATTGAACTTCTCTTTGTTCTTGTATCATATTAAAAGATTAATAGGACTTCCCAATTTGCCTTCTTTATGATTCATTATTTTTAATAGCTCTGTTATGTTCTCTCTTAATAATCACTTCCATAAACTCAGAAGTTTCAGTCTTTATATTCTCTCTTCAGATGAAAGTCTTTCCATGCTTCAGATCCATTTTTATCACTTATCTCTGAACCTTTCCTGTTTCTGTTATATATATTATAAATTAAGGTCAACAATATTCAAAGTGAAAGTGTGTGCCATTGTTTTATATAATGACATTGTAGTGTAGTCAGTATTTTCATTTGCATTCCTTATACCGAACACATTGAGCAAAAGTTTTCATTGAGTTTGTCCATTAGTGTACATAAGGAATTCAAATTATTGCTTCCAGAGAGAATTACTTTTCATTTTTTAACACGGAATTCGGTCTGTCATTCACTGAGGTTTAAATGCCT